CAGGACGTCCCAGCTCTCAGACCTGGGCACTATCACATCCAAGCTGCTGCACATCTTTTGGCCATGGTAAGCATGACAGGGCACGGGGTGCTCGTGTGGGTTTTTGATTAACTTTCTACCAGCTGTTGTAAGTAAGATAACACCTAACGCAGCACTGAGTCTGCCAGAACACAGTTTGCAGAGAAGTTCCGGTGAGTGTGAATCAGCAGCCAGCTTGCAGAGGTTCAGGGTATGGCTCTGATCATCACAGGATTTTAATTATTTCTTTTCTTTTTTTTTTTTTTTTAATCTGACAGCAGCATCTGAAACATGAGGTTTGCTGTTTTGTGAATGTATGACCTGTGTAGCAGCGTATAAACCAACCACCTTCAGCTCTAACCTTTCAGTTCACTTCACTCAACAACCAATTCTAGCCATTTTTTCCAAAACCAAAGCAGACCAAGCAATAAACCCACTAGAATTATAAACTCAAAAGATATAGTTTGCAATGCTCACAAATTAAACATGGTTCATTCCAACACCAGCGCAACAAAAGGACCATTTCAGCATTTCATGCGGAAGATAAGAAGTTCTGTACCTAAAACAACCACTTGAAGACAAGCAACAACAACAAAACCCAAACTAATTATGTTGAGTACTATGTCAAGCAAGGCTGTGCTCACAGTTCAATCCCAAATTACACAAGACCAGAGGGAGCAGACAGTACAAACAAGCTTTCTTTTCTTATGTTACAAAAAGGCAAAGTTTCAAAGTCTGGTTACTGCTGACTGGCAGACTACTGATGTCCATATTGCCACCACCCTGTGAGAACATCATGACTTATAAATAAGCCCAAACACCAAGACATCCAAAAATCACAACCAAAGAGGCAGGTTTTCCAAAAGAACTAAGAAAAGGTTCCACAAAAAGGATAACAAGTATTCTATTACTAAGTTAAACCACTGCACTAACACTGAGCACTTCTCCAAGGTTCTCTGACCAGAGCACCAGACAGCTACAGCATTGACTTTGCAGCACAACCACCTTTAGAAACACTATCCTATTACCACCACAGATTAAACTCAGGCAAAACAGGTAATGAGCACGCTTCTCAAACAAAACAGAAACTGATTCAGTAATAAAACTCCCATTTCCAAAGATAAAAAATAAAATATAACTTTATCACTGGACCATCTCAGAGATGTTCTGAAACACAGCACAGTTAAATACAAAAGACAAACAAACATCCAGTTACACCTGATGCCACAACACTGGAGGCAAAGAAACAAAATAGCCAAACACAAACACTGACAAGAGAAATACAAAACCCTTGGGCTTAAGAGATGACAGGTTTTTAACTCTTTTACAATCTTGTTTTCAGCATTCTCACTCAGTTCATCAATTAATCACGAGTTGATACAACATCCATCTTACAAATGCTACGTACACGTGCTCTGCAGAGCAGCTTTGTCCCCTACACCACAGGACAACGCCTCTGATTCCCAACAGAGAAGGTACTGTGAGAACTGAGAACATCAAGGGCTGCAGCCATTTTAAAATGTGAAGCATTCTAAGGCAAACTCCCAGACTTGTTCAGTAAAGCTGAGCGGAAGGGGTAGGTGCCATGCAATCCAGAGAGAAACTTGAGTTAGTGTAATGCACTGAAATTACTGCCATGCACAAGGGACCAAAAAGAGGTTGCACCAGGAGAAAGCATTACAAAGTTATTGTGTCCACCAATGAACTTTGAAGCAGAGCATGAAAGAGTAAATGACTTAGCAGGTTCAAAAACTCCATCTTAGTTTTTCCAAACAACTGGAGGAAGCTCAATTTAAATGGGATGGTGTCCCTAAAAATTCAAAATTAACCCCTCATGTATGAAGAAATGGCACTTTTAATCCAACAGCACCTGTTTTTGAAAGCTGCCTCAGCCCATGATAGATTTGATGCTTAGCATTTGCTAGAATTAAGAACTTTTTCTTTTATCAAGTGTTTTGTACTATCTTGGCCAAGACTGAAGTTTAAGGAAATTTGCTGTCCTTGATGATCCATCACTTGTAGTGAGTAGGTCTTGTCCATCCATGCAAATTACGTATTAAAAAGGAACGTAGTAAGTGGGTTTTCAAGAGAAAACAAATTCAGTAGAGGAAATTCCGAATATATAATACATACTAGGGAGAATTTTAAATGACTTGACAGTAAACATAGAATGCAGATTTATTTTGTGTTTTAAAAATGAAGCTGGATGCAGTAAGTTGCATCAAAAAAAGAAGGTAGATGTGGTGTTATTTCAAAAAAACCAACCTGTCTTCCATGTACTGAAAGAGATGGAGACCACTAGGTTTCAGTCAAGTGTAAAGGAGTCTTTTACATCTGGAACTCGAACTGCCAGTCCAATGATATACTTGGACCAAGACCACATATCCACCCAGATCAACCCCCAGCCTGTGCAAAGGCTGGTGTGTGGATATCTCACTACTGCAGGAATCTCTGCTGCCTAATTCTGCCTTCTGCTGACTCATTCCTCGTGTTTTGACAGTTTCTCTTTCCACCAAGGAAGTGCAGCACTGCCATTTTAGTGCTGGGTTTTGTCCTGCTCTGACAGCCAGTTTAGGGATCCGAGAGCAGAACAAGCGACTGCCCCAAAGCACCAGATCTTGAGCACATTTACAGTACTCCAGGATTTCATCCCAGAACCCTGGTGTGACCTGTTTGGGTGTAACACTGTGAGAAGGACCACACTTGTCTAGGCAAGGTGATCTAGGACAAGCACGTGGGTACAGATTTAAGACTGGCAGCTGTGCCACCCTAAGTGTGTTCTTAACCTGAGTGAGGTGATTTAAATGTTGAAGATGACAACCTGGGATTAAACTAGAAGGCGAAGCTTGGCAGTTTAATGTAAAACCTATGGATATCCACAAGAAGGCATTCAAACTCAACTCCAGATTGTCCTAATTTTATTTGACTTGGTTAATCAATTTTGAAGCACTTTTTACAGTTTACATAATTTAAAGGAGCACACTGTGTCCCATAAATATAAATTAACATTTTTAATAACTCAAGACATCACAACAAAGCCAGATTTTAAAATAAAATGCCTGTTTAGTTATCTGGATCAAGAAGTAACATACATGGGGAAGGAAAAAACAGCATTAACAAGAAAACACTGTTTAGTTCTAAACTGAGTTTGTGCTTCTACATCAAAAACACAACACTGAAGTAACAGGAACTCTGCAAAGAACTTGGAAAGGTACATAACTTCTTTAGTCCCCAAACCAAATCGCATATTTATTTCTTCTTTTACATGTTATTTTGTTTGGCTCTATCAAATTAGCACTAATGGTAGAGGGACAAAAGTACAATATACTAACTTTGCTACAAATATGTGTTCTGTTGCAGCAGTTTGTTAGCTTGTTGGTTTGGCTTAAGTTGAAATGGTTTTCCTTCATAAAAAACAAGAGCAAACATTTTCAATGTATTTAATAATCAACACACATTTGTTAGTATGAAGCAGATGGTGTTCAGCATGAAGGCATTAGGTGATCATTTGAAAACACCATGCTTTTTTTTTTTTTTTTTTTTTAAACACTAAGCCACCCTGAAGAGTTTTGTGAAAGCCAGATGTTCAAAGCTGGTGCACAGATGAAAACTGCACATCCACAATTATGCACAGAAGTACCCAGAGCCTGGCAGCTGTTAACAAGTGCCATTAGTCACTCACATGCTTTCTCAGTGACACACTGAACCAAGTCATCTTTCACTAAACTTTGAAAATCTGGTCTTAGCTACAAATGGACACTTTGCTTCACTCCATTACTTTAACAAAGGGCATTAATCCAATTCTTGATTTTTGGTTGAGGACTTGAAATAGGAGTGAGATACTATAATGCCAATAATTTAATATAAATCTTCAAAGTAATTATTATTTGATCACAAAATGACAAAAAATCTTATTCAGAAAGCCTCTTTATAATTATTGATTTCCTGTCTATTTATTTTTGAAGCAATCTCAGAACTTAAAACTTTGGAAAACTTTTTTAAGCCTAGACCTACAATACTTGCATACTAGGGTAAAAGATGGAGTTAGAGAGTCAGCCCCTGAATGCTTCTAAAAAAATAGGTGCTTCAATACAGGTTTAGAAAAGAAATTAAAAATCATGTTTTCAGTCACACTGGAGAAAACATCTGCAAAGAAAAAAGGCCCTCATCCTTAAGACTAAAGAAAAAGATGGTAAGGAAAAAAAACCAAAAAGCACCGTTTTCCCAAGTTGCCCAAATCACACACAGACACAAGAAGGTTACAAATGCCATTCATGAAAGAATGCACCACAAACATCAGCATTTATTCATTTTGAATTTTTTTTTAGCAAATGACAAAAGACTCAGCTCACTGGCTTCACTTTTGTTTACCTTTTGCTTACATTACACATTTAAACATTTGTCAAAACTTACTAAGTTGTCTGCATTCATGCACAACTAGAAAACATCCTTAATTTATTTAAACCAGAAATGCATTACCAGAAATGTATTAACATTGTTCACTACTAAACATTAAAAAAAAAAAAAAAAAAAAAAGTTGAAATTATTAAAAAGGTTATCCTGGAACTTTTAACTTCACAGCAGACTTAAAACTACTAATTGGCTCACATTTCAAATTGGAAAAAGCAAGATTCATGCTAGTGTTAGTGTACATCTCGCCCTAGCACTACTGAAGGATCATGGTTCACCTTGATCACAGATAAGAAAAGAAAAGTGCATACAGAAGTTTACAACAATTTTAAGGACAAAAAATGGTCCAATTGATGTGGTCCCAACAATAACTCAAAAGTCTATGACAAATACGAGCTTCTGTGAGCTACTTATACTACTTAAGATTGAGTACCGATATACAGAAAGTTGAATTCATTTGAAATCTTCAAAAAATGTTCCTGTCAATCCTCAAATGGTGGCTGTTATAGCTTAAAATTTCTGTTAAATGCGTGCGTTGAATTACTTGTTATCCAAGCGTAGCTGCTCCTTACCATTTATTGTTAGCGACCTTAACTGGCCATCTTCTTCAACTTCTACTCTCTCTTGTCCATTCTCAACAATCCTGCAGGACAAAAACACCATCAGTCATTTCAAAGCACTGCAAGCAGTTTCAAATACACACCAGACCTTGATTTTAGATAACAAACTGTAACAGGGCAACGCCTGCTAAACACAACTGCAGTTGTCATGCTTTCATATTTACCAGCACAGGAAATGCAACCAGTAACCATCTGCATTTCCCCACCAATATTGCTTATTTATAGCAGGAAAATTGCTTTCTGGAAGCTGGAATCCTCCAGTTTGTAGAGTTCACAGTTACAGCTGCCACCTCATACACTGTCCCAGTTGTGCTGACACTATACTCCTATCTAGAACTAAGTATCTTGACAGATCAACTGCACAATCTCGACACTGCATTTAGTTACCTGTCTGTTAAATGCATAATATTCTAGACACAATCACAATTTTGCATGATGTAAGACATGCTAGACAGTCTTTAACCCAGGGTTCATTTGATCAGAGCAAGAAATTTGTAGACCTCCCATACACCAAGTTTATGACCATCATGTACGGTGCAAAATTCAAGTATCCCTGACTGGAAAAAGGGATTAATAAAGAGCTTTGTGGGTTTGGGGTTTTTATCCTTGTTTGGTTTAGAAATGGGAAGATAAGGAATGTTTAAATTAATTTTAGCACATTTAATTTTTGCCTAAACTTTAGCCATTTGGGAATTCTCCCCTTGTGATTCAAACGAGGAAACCACATGGATGAATACAGAACTTTCTGGAGATCAGACTTGTTGAAGAGAATACACCCATATTAAAAACAGAGGGAACAGCTTCTTGCCCAAAGCAAAATATTACTCAGAGGAGATTTTCACTGGATGTGCTGGGATATGAATCTTCTTTAGACTCAGCTGCTTTGTGGGCAGATATTCCACAAAGCAAGAGGACTTCTCAGAGATAGTAACTGTGTCTTCCTAGACGTGGTTAACCACATTTCTTGCTTCTCCCCTCCCTTCTTAGATATGGTAACGAAGGTATGACAGCAGCATACCTGATACAGTCTATTTTTTAATGTTAAAACAAACTTTTGCATAAACACTTTCTCTGGTCTCTCTCACATGGCACAACTCCCTCAAAACTTTTGAGGCAGTTTTCAGATTTTTCTGGAAGACGCTCACAGAAAAGTATCATGACCACACCAGCATGTGATGACAGAGGCTGCTTTCAAGTGGTCAAGATGACGGGATCTCTCCAGTGCAACAGGACACAGAAGAGCCCTGCACTTTAAAATATGGGACAAGTCACCAGACAAAAAAAATCTGTCCTCCCTTGCTTTTCCATGACTTTTTATTAAGTACTGAAATTACATTTAACTACTTGTTCAGTACTCCTGTAATTTACATTTTAATGATGTTCCGTTTATTCTATAGCTAAAAAGATTTGGGTTTGCCAAATGCAATGATTTCCCCATCACAAGCATGAAATAGCCAGAAGCTACACCGTGTTATAATACTTGAAAGATCAGTTTCCAACAAACAGGAACATTTTTCTCCAAAGCAAGTTCAGTTGCTTATTTCACTTAATAGACAGAAGAAAATTACTACAAAGACTTCACTCAAACACTACCTATGAAAGCAAACCAGAGCAGATGTTAGGGGAAAGTCTTCATAATGTCTGCAAAATGCAAAGTCCCCCTAAACACCAGTTAAAAGCTTCAGAATCAGTAGAAACCAAGTACACGTTTCCCTTCCAGAAGTTCAAGGTATCTGGGCAGACATTAGACAGGGACCACAATAAAAGATGCAGCACTACACAGGATGTTCTGAAGGCCTGCAAGACCTCCAGCTACACCATTAAGCAACTCAATAATGCCAAGAAGAGTGAGAGAACCCAATACAGCATCTCAAAATGTTTTAAAGCAAAGAAATCCAAGTAATATAAAGAACAGAACAACAAAAGTAAAAAGAAAAACACATACATGTATCACTATAGGTATGTGTACAAAGATATAGTATATTTATATGCATGTAATTATAGCTATTTAAGTCTCTACAAATAGTTTCACAGAAATATATTTATATCACTTACCTCTTTGTAGTAATTTTTCTGCCATTAACTATTTTAGTTGAGGTTGATACTGATTTGAAGTTGCCCATCCCACCGCCACCAAATGACGAAGAAGAGAACGACGAAGTAATGCCCCCATGTGCCAGAGAACCAAACGAAGTAAAACCTAGTGGAAAAGAAGGCATTTGACCAAAAACGTATTTTTGCATGACTGTGGGATCAAAATTTCTCATCCCCTCAGACTACATCCTAGTTTCAGGATGCCCTTGGTTGCATCAACACAGCATCAGTGACTAGATATTATTAAACATCAGTGTGGGAATAAAAACCTAACTCTGGCCCCATCTATTTCTCTCATATGGACCCACAGTTCAAGTTCCAAATGCACAGCATTGTGCAAAAAACATTTGTCAACTCCTCCCCTGAAAAGGCATTCAAGCTTGTCTGCTGAACTCAACCATTCCCCTTTCTCTCCACTCAGGGTAAAGCCAGCAGCTCTAGTGAATCTGATCATTTGTGCTGGGATGCCCTGAGCTGGCAAGCAGGACTGGTCTTGTGGCAGTAACACCCCAAATAATACCCAGAATCTTAACACTTAGACTCATTCTAAAGGATGCTGACTGTCAGTAGCTCTCAGTAACCTCTGAGATACCCAGGTCAGCATCCAAACTGGTCACCCCAGGCTAAGTAGTACCATGGGGTTCAGGCACACATTTTTAACGTGTATTTTCAGGACCTAAAAGCCATCACACTCCCAACACTTAAAAACAAAGAGAACAAAAACAATTCTAAAGCTATAAAGAAACTGTAGCACCAGAATAATGACCACAGAAAGTATTACTTCCTAGAGGTCTGTTCACTTTACATGAACTTTCAGGTAGCCCAAATACTGTACCTATAGTTTTATTTACATTCACACCTTACAGAGAGAGCTTAATTTAAAAAATCACATCCCCACAATCTCCTGAATGGAGAAGGTAGTTTAATACATTGCAATCCTTTGTGAACCAAACCCATACTCCTTCTTAAATATTGTGGTATTTACCTGTGTCAAATGGACTAAAACCACTTCCAAAAGCAGGGAATCCACCAAAGGCAGTGAAAAATGATCCTCCACCACCTCTGCTTCTGCTTCCCCTTGGACCCCGTCTGCCCCCAAAGAAGTCCTCAAAAGGGTCTTCTACAAAACAGAAGACAACATTGAAGAGGTCAGCATTACTTAGTGATTCTGTATTCAATCATTAGGGATTCTTTATTAAAAACAAAACAAAACATTTCTTGTTACAGATAAAATTCTTCCTTTAAAATATTTGATGCTACTGAACTAACAGTCCCTCAAAGGTAATGCTTATGATCCTTCTGGACTAGATTCTGTTTCACTTTTGGACCTAAAAATAATTCTATATATAAAAACTAGGTGATTTCTTTATTTTAGCTGTTTAACATTAAAAAGCAGTACACCTAATGTAAAATTTAGCACACAGGTACCTGAATTTTCTAGTTTATTTCTATTCAAAATTTATTGTGGATCACCGTGATAGGTCTCTGAAAAGTAACTTCCAGATAGGTTATATTAATTATTGAAATATAAAAACAGCAACCAGGGATTGATGACTCATAATACTGAAGTGTTCCAAGTGTTAATTTTAGCACTTGCCACATTAGATACTTCAAACACGTATTCTGATGCACATTTAGGCAGCAAAGTACGAAGGTTTACACAAGGTGTCCCGAAGAGGCATTCAGTCCAAACCAAGCAGGAGGAAGAGGGGAAAAACAGAGAAAGGGGGTCATGGATAAAGTGCTATTTCAAGTTCAAGTTCCACTGTTATGTCACTCAGAACAGCTGTTGTTCCATCCCCATCAGGAAGACAATAGTCTCTTTCAAAGCAAAAAAAAAAGAAAGGCAGTGGGGGTTTGTTACAGGACACAACACCAGACACCTATACAAGCAATCTTTATTTACTTTATCACATTTTCCTGAAGAAAAGGAAAAATAAGTATTACTAGAATTATCCAAAAACTGCTTTTTTCTAGTTCTCCTGAGACAAAGAACAACCTTAAAAACTACACTCATAAAACAGATATTCAATAAACATAACACTTGCATTAAAACCAGAGAAGTTTATTAACTACAACTACTCTCTTCATCAATCTCAGCTCTCCTAGAATCAGTGTTGTACAATAGCCATGATTTTACCAAGTTCTGCAAGTAGGGGATATTGAAAGGTAACAGTCTGAAACACTGCTCAGAATAAGCTCAGAAAATGCAGACCCTGGTGACAGCAGCAATACCAGTATGAAAGCAAGGAAAGATTACTAGCTGCGTGACTGTTCAGGACTACAACTGACAAAGCAAAGGTCAGAAATGCAGTATTTATTCCACCTCTGGTACCTCCACAAAAATCCAAGTTGATTTATGACAAATCTCCAAGTCAATGCAATATGCATTATGCATCATTAAGTAATCAGTATGATAATAAAAAGATATAAGTTACCATCTGGTTAACGTGCAATTACTTAAACGTGAAATGTCACAACGTATTTATGCTGAACAACAGCAGCCACTGAGGGTCAGACATAAACTCCCATCAGCAAAGACATCCAATGCCTAAACCAACTAGAAAATAACCCTATCCCTCCCTCCCTCCCCTGGAGGGACCAAATGTTTACCTTACATACACCTGACAAGCAAGTGTAAGGTTTTTTTTCCTACCTCAGACTTTTTGTTTTGTAGTTTCTTTTCTTGTTTTTCCATGTAAAACAAGTTTTCCTCAAGATGAAGGTGACCCATCAGTACTTTTATAGAAATTAAACCAACAATTGGGCATGGAAATATAGGAATTATAATTTCCAAAACAAGCACTATGCCAGATTTAAAAAAAGGCCATTTTGTCAGCCTAGCATATCAACTAGCAAATAAAACCACTGCAGTTAATTGTTTTGTAGTCCATTTATTCTCACTGGAATGACTCATAGGTTCGCTATGAAGGTCATTCACTCACGTGTACAAATGATCTATATTATATTACTCCCACTGTTAAGCTTTCTATTTATAATCCAAATTTTCCTGTTACCTGGAGTTTGAATAAAAACAAAACAACCTATATGATGTAGGCTTCCAGTTTTTAATCCCCCCAGATATCAGCCTATTCTGCAAGTGAATCTCTCCTCCTCAGCGAAACAGCTGCAGGAACACAAAGTTATTTAAGGGAGGATCACAGAAGCTCCCAGAGATCCCTGATATCAACCCAGCTTCCTAATGGATTACTGCCACACCAAAACCTAACTGAGGCCTGGACATGCCTTATTAGCCTCTGGCAACCCTGGCAACTTGGCATCAGCACGTGCTGCAGCCTCAGGTGACTGCTGTCAGCAGCCCTGGTAATAATCCTCCCGTGCTCTCCCAGTAATTCTCCCGAGTGAGGTACTCAAACCACTGTCCCGTGGTGCACTGCGGAATGCTCAGGGAGATGGATTAGGCAGAGACAGGAAAAGGGGTAGGACTTTTCAGGGAAAGTATTTCTTTACTGTTTTGACAGCCAGACAGGTACAGCAGGCAGCAGAAAAAAAATGCCAAAAATACTGAGGAGAGAAGGCAGCAGGAGGCTGCTGCACTATCATTTGTTATATCTACCATCAAACACACATTAATAAAGCAACCTCACAGCTACTCAGACCCTGTTTATGCTTTTATTCCCTAAATCAGGATGATTAATAGCACCACTCAGTAAAATAATAACATTTCAGCCTTGTAGGTCTATTTTTGTGATTTAGCAGAACCTTTCCATCCCTGATAACCTTCTCACAAAGAAGGCTCTGTCCAAACAATTCAAATGCAGGGTGTTAGGGTTTTTTAATAACTCATCTTATTATAGTCATTTTGGTGCTCACAATCCATGTTTTATTGAATGTTAGAAGCATATCAGATTAACAAAACTAAGCATTAAAAAAACAAACTAACTACACACACTAAAAAAGTTAAAGCCTTTCTAAAAGTTGAAAATACTATACAAATCCATGTTAAAAGCTTCAGAAAACCAAAATGTTAAACGACTGTCACTTCAGAGCATTACTGAATACTGTTTGGAGATAAATTCAGTTTATTCTAATACAGGTATTATCAAAAGCTTATGGGAGGACAGAGTTTTAGATTCAGTTTCAATAAAAATGTCGGAGTACATTTCTGAACAGAACTTGTGGTGCTGTCAGAACAGCAAAGATTGAGAGAGAACAAAAGGTGAAAAATTTCAAAAAAGCCAGTGAGACAGACTTCTAATCAATCAACAACAGCAGATGACATAAAACTTTGGGGGAAAAAAATAAATGCTTAAGCAAAGAACTCATGGTAGCCTGTTACCAAAGGGGAAAAAAAAAAATTGAATACAAAACTCCCAGCAACACAAAAGACTGTATACTTACAAACCTGTCTGAAAATAACAACATTAGTGGTAATGTTTCCAAAAGAATTTACTTTCTTTCAAAAAATCTTTGCTAATTGAAATGCAACAACTGTGTTGTTTCTGTGGGTAAAACATTAAACCTGCTCCCTGCAAACCATGGAACCTTACCTTGCTTTTCTGTAGTCGCAGAAAAACAATGTCACCTCTAAACAGGTCAAATAACAACAACAACTACTGTAATTAATATCTCACTGCAGTTCAAAATAAGGCAGGTCACAATCCCCCCACGCTCAGGAGTCCTCAGCTCTAACACAGAGACAGGATTTTCTCCCTTACAGCTAATTGCAGAATACTGCTTAAAACATGTGATTGCTCTCCTTTCCTGCCTTATGATCACTGAACCAAATAACAACTTGCATTAACTCATTGATCCAAAAGAAAACACTGAGTTGCTACTTTCTGTTGCACCCATGAGCTAATCTGATTCAGGAATGGCCAGACTGGTGCATCTGAAATAGTGCTGGCAGGAAAGCACCATACAATAGGGCAAGAGAGGAAAGGAGGCAAACCCCAAAATATCTACATTTGAAGTAGTCCACAATGCAGTTAAAACTGATGAAATTCATTATAGCAATCTAAGGCATCAGTTGAAATCACAATACACGATCAACTAGGAGTGCCACATTTCCTGTGGCAGTCACTCCTACCAGGACACATTTGTATCCTGGCCCTGGCTTGGGGAACTAGAAACTCACAAGCTGAGAACAACATCTCCAGATGAAAGGAAGTTCAGCCACATCAATTCTTTGCTCAAGTTCACAGTCTGGCTGTAAAAGCAGCTGTGCTGGTTACAAGGTAGGGCAGAAGCAGAAGTACCCAAGGGACGAAAGCAGTGTGGGAAGATGCTTTCAATCACAGAACGACACCGTTCCTGACCAAAGAATCAAGCACATTCCACTGCAGTGCCATCATTCACCTCCAGAAAATGAAGAGTGTTGACATAAACTGTGTGCTGTCAGCAAATGTTCTCACATGCATGTACTGCTGCAGGAGGAGATGTCGATAATCTTACAGGGACAGTATGCAAAGGAACCTTAGCCTGTAAAAACAGGTTCCCTGCTCAGGCACCACTCAGTGGGCCACCTCCCCAGCCAGTGACTGTTCTCTCCTCTATTCTTTGCCACCAGAGCCACGCTGCTGCCTCTGCCAGAACATGACACGTGAGCTGCGTGCCCGTACTGCAGATGCAGGAGGGTGGCACTCGCTGCAGCACAGAGTAATGTTGAAAGGCTGTTCAGCCACTGCACAAGGACACAGTCAAACTCAACTGTGCTGCAGTGTTTCAGTGAGCCAAGGCTGCCTGCCCAACATCCTTTCTTCGTAACAAAAGCACACTGCAATGATTTTATGGATCCTGCCAGAAGAGAGTCTGAAATGCAGGTCTGGCCAATGTGTTCATGCAAATGACTACAGATATGATACTTACAATACAACAGAATTCTTGGAGTAGGTGTTCTCTATCTTGTCTATTTGAAAAAAGTTTCAAAGATGCAGATTGGCAGTAAATACACACAGAAACTCATACTACAGCTCTGGAGTATATTCAGGCACAAAAAAACACATCATCTGAACTGGATGGGCCACAGAAACCTGTAAGCACTTCTTCATGGAAATGTTTTCTTCCTTAACTACAAAATAAGCATATTGTTGACACCACTTACTCAGGAGACACTAAGATGCTGCTGCAAGCACTGTTGATTCACCTGCCTAATGTTTG